GGGAAAACGACTGTATATATGTGAAGAGATCTCCCTGGTCGAGTTGTCTCTCTGTCAAAGTCGAGTTGTCCTAACGGACAACTTGGCAAACGGTCAAGTTGTCTCAACGGTCGAGTTGCCTTAACAGTCAAGTTGTCTCAACGGTCGAGTTGTCTCAACGGTAATGTTGTCCAAAGTCGAGTTGGCAAACGGTCGAGTTGTCCAACATCTGAAGTGGGGATGGGGCGATGTGGTTAGGAGCGACCAGTCATGTCAGTTAGTAGCCCCATTAATGTGGCCTACAGTCGGCTGGGAGCGGCGTACCGTAGGCCAAATTAATGGGGCTAGTCGCTTGGGCCCTAGGGGCGAAGTCGAAATGCATGGGGCAAAGTGACTTTCAGTGTAAAGCACTGTAACAGTCTAACAAAAGTGCAAGCAGGGCTAGGGAAAATTAGTGACGTCCGTATACTGGTACATAAATATACAGTGTACATGTACATAGCTCAATGAGTCATAGGCCCCCTAAGGCCCTATGCCTACTTATGGAAATTATCAAAAGGCACACAGGTCTGTTTCTAGGTCTACTTCCACTCGACTCGAGTCCAAGTCCATCAATCCATGCATCGAAGAAGCCGGCAAAAATAATCTGCACTGTCTACCCATCCATACAGAAGTTGCAGCAAGTGACTACATAATTACTAGACTAGATAACACGACTGTACTGTGTTTTATTCCTCCATGGTGTATTGTAGTATCAATCATATTTATGTATTTATTAAAAGTTCCATTATCGTGGTGATTATTATGCTGTAGAAAATCAAATAAATCTTGAAATCTAGACAACTAGGCATGACGGGTGATCAGCAAGTAATCCAACCTACCATGGAGCTATAAAAAAAGGAACCTACTGTCGTCTACCTCTGTACTCCAACTCCTGGCTGTACCCTGCCCAAGATCTTGCTTCAGTCTGCGCAGGAGAAGCCGGCCTGCCCGCCTATCGCCCGCACTAAATCATTTGACGATTTATTTAAAACAAAACAAGTGATCGATTATGCATGATGCACGCCCTCTATGACGCACAAAATGTAATGTACAACCGGTGCACCTTTCACCACCGTCGTATGTCTTGCAGCCCGCGCGCTTTGTACGTACATGCCTTTCGCAATGCACCGTAGTTAAACATGTACATGTACACACGCGCACTCCATGTGTGTACGCCCCGTGTACGTACACGCGCACCAAACCGTCACCCGCATTGATCTCCATTATAAAGACTATTTTAAGTCTTGTGTTCGAAACCCCGAGCAGCCGTCAATATGTTATTGATCATTTTAATTATAATTCCAAGTTTTTAAACCTATATTATAATATATTTCTTATATGGGATCTTCACTTGTACCAGAAAAGGTAATTTTCGAGATGAAAATTGTCTTCAGGTTAGATATTTTCGTTACGTTTACCTGCAGTCCCTTTTTGACCGTGCCGTGCCAACAGTGTTGCCCAGGTACGGTTTCTGGCGACGGTCGGTTGTGCGTGCTGCAGCCATACACGCACTGTAAATTTTGGTGGAACGTGAAGAATTTTTGACAATACGGGTAACAAATACAATGGACAGAAGATAAGAATGGGAGGCGCTCGTTTTTACAACGGTGTGGAAAACGGTCATGTTAAAGGGAAGGTGGGACCTTTACTGACAAGTACATGTGTACATTGTTGGAAAAGAACTCAATAGTTTTACGAATTAAATCGTTGTTATGCATGGATTTTAGAGGTGTCAATTTGAGGAGATCAAGGCGCAGAATTACAATCGTGTTGACGTGCAGGATCCAGAGCTGGATCGATAAGTCAAAATGGGAATACTTTTCAAGAATCTCCATGAATCGAAGGGCTGGTGTACGCATTGAAAATAGAACGAGTGCTTCGATAATTCTTGTAGATACGGGAAACGCTGGATGGAGTTTGTAGCTGCAAATGAAATAGTTCCTTATGAACACCCCCTTATAAAGAATGGAATAGGCACAGGCCGTTGCACGCACATCACGCGCACAAATAGAAAAAGGCCCTTTTTAGCCTGTTATTGTTGAGCTCTGAAGACAAATGACACTGCGTTCGATTTGGATGCTTCCATATTTATTTGAACTGATAAAATCAGAGAAAACATGTTTTCCTGTGAGTTGCTCTTTAAGCTCCATCAAGAGTCCCCTAGTGGAATCGGGAACCAACAGCAAGATCATACCCATGTATGGTGTTCCATATGTTCCATCTGGCGTCGCATTTTTCAGCCGGCGTCGCATTTTTTGACGGGCGTCGCATTTTTCGTTGGGCGTCGCATTTTTCGACCATCGACGCATTTTCGGAAAACTTTTCGTGATTTTGTATTGCTGACAACTTCTTTCAACCAAGAAAAGGTAAACTTTCTCTAAGTGACACTTTGTCGCCAAGAGTAGTTACATTTTAAATTATAGACCGTAATGCGATAAACGCTCCCTCGGGAAGCATGTCTGCAAGATGGCAAATGCCATACCAACCAGAGTGAACAATAGGCCTACTATACTGGGTTTGATTTTCGTGGCAACTAGTAATCATCAGTACGGGGACATTTTTCACTCAAAAAGCTTGCAGAAGTGAGAAACCAAATTGAGCGAGGTGAACTTCCACGACTAATCAGGTTCATTTTTTAAAGGGTTGTTAATTTATTTACATAAAGTTAGTCGACGCATACATGCTAATTTAGCCGTTTCCATAATCATTAAAAATATGTACGCACACTTTTAGCATCCAAGTCAACAACATCAGGTCCGGCTGGACCAAGGTTGACCATCATGATTAATGGCTTATTCACATTGAAAGGCGACGCGAGTATGAAAATGCGACGCCGGTTGAAAAATGCGACGCCGGATGGCACATATGGAACACCATACCCATGGGAATGAGGTTGGATCCACAAACGTACACGTACGTGTGCGTGTACACATGCCAGTACCATTTACCATTTTATCGCATGTACAGGTACATGTACTTTACATGTACAGGTATGTACTGTACTGTACAACCTGTACGACCCGCCCAACATGCATATTCATAACACAATGCGGAAGCGGGGCCTTAGCAACCAAACAGCTGAGTCCCGCGCAACGTGCAACGAAGTCTATCGAGTGGGATTTCTACTGTGTCAAAAAATCGAAGATTTTGTTTATTCAGAAAGGACTGAAAATAATCAACTATGGCTACAGCAGTACATGGTAAGTAGTCATGTGTATACAGTTCTCATCCACAAATATTTCTGCCAGGGAAGCTCGTTCTGTAAAGGTTGCTGGTAAGTCCGTTTCGTAGCCTAGGTTAGGCCCTCGGCTCGAGTCCGTTTATGTTATCACCTACAGTACAGGCCTAACTCTTTACTTTGAAGTTCCTGTCTTTGTGCTCAAACAGTATATCCAGGGGTACGGGTCAGGGCCCACATAGATTTAAAATTAAGGGATCTGCATGCATTTTTACAAACACATCAACTCAACGGCTGTGCCAAATGAAAAGTTAAATTTTGGTGAGGAAAGGGATGTACATGCATGACATGTACGCTATGCCTGTGTACACAAATCATTTTCATGAGACTTAAATACATGTATCATACAAAAATATGATAGATGTTGTGGCGAAAATCGTCACAGTGGAGATGCTATCTACCCCCAGCAAATGCAACATCATGTCCACGACACAGTTGAGGCATGGCGTGCATGCCCAACAGAGTCAATACAGCTTGGCATGCCAAACTTTGGTTATCCAGCAAAAGCGTCTATAAAAAGAGTGTAGTTAAATAAAATAGGGTAGGGACAAATGGCTGTTTACCAGTTTTAAGGCATTTTTACATGTAGGCCCAAGGCCTTTGTTTTCATGTCATGGTTTTCCCAGTTTACATGTACAGGTCTAGGCCTAGGCAATTTAGTGACATCACTGCATTCCACTGATTTTTCACCCCATGATCATCTTCTCATTTCCTCTTGGAATCACTCAGTCATTTTCATTTTCTGCATTTTCTCTTATTTTAATCTCAACACAATTTAGTAAAAACCTACTTGGGCATGCCCTATTTTGTCGTAGGGTGTTTCTTTCCAACGAAAGCAAAGTTGGGTGTGCAGCATGCTCCAACTGTGTCGTTAACACAGGTGGGACAGTTAGAAAATATGGGTGTAGCAGAGATTTAAGCGCACTGCCTGATTGTCAATTGTCAGAGCATAGGCCTACATTACAGGATCCGTCTGTCAGCAGACACAATGACCAGTGCTCATAATGAATGAAATTGCTTTTGTTTTACCAATGTTTGTGAGTAGAATGACCTTCAGGGGAAAAAATGCTTTCTTCTAAGTAACTTGGACCCTACATGTATTTATCACCTTTTAACTAATTGTAATACTTGCTTGGATGTGGTTGGGCAAAACATTTGAAAGAATCCAAACTGTACATGTCCCAGCTGCTCAGACTTAAATGTAACCCAGTTCTGAAGCCAGCAATAAGACAAACACTTTGTCAACTGAAATTGCTTTCTGTCACAATTTTTCAATGTGTAATGCAGTTTGATCAGCCTTCATAGTTAGTTGACAACTGGTGAGATGCAAACATGTAATGTTGTGTAAGCGTTATGTTAATTGGAAAAATGATATGCAGCTTGTAAAAAAAATGGTTGGCTGAATAGTAGCCTTTTTATTTACCTCTGCAGCAAGGCCACTTCAAAGCATGCCTCCTTCACAGAGACTAGAGGTTCTTGCGAGACCCAAGCAACTTCCACCGGGGTATCGCGAGGACAGGTAAAGACCCTAAAATCTGCTGCAGTCAACCCTCTGATCCCACAGAAAAAGTAGCAGTGAATAACGTGAAGTCTACACAATCCCAAAAGTATCCATTAATGGCACTGTGAGAATAGTTAAATCCAAGAGAAACCATCAAGAGATCTTTTCTTTTTAGTTGAGAACGGTATAAAGAACAGTTTTTCTTAATTTTTAACCAAGATGAAGTTTTTTGGCATTACATCTACATACATGTACAAAGCTGTTGTAAATGAATAAGTGTAATGAATGTTACATGTAACATTACACCTGTATACATGAAGTTTGGGTTGACAATATGCATGTACATGTATATCCAGGACCACAGTGATGATTATCTACTGTGGTAGTTGCTCTGCTTTGCACTGCCAGGTTAGACATTTTAAGACCCTCTTAAAGTAATTAAATTACTTTTTTCTGTAATGATGTCCAGTCCATATTGACCGTAAAATTCTTTAACTTCAGGTAAAAATTTGAAGAAAACTTGTGAAGTACTCATTGTTACAACCTTGCTTTGCAAAAGCTTTCTTAGTGTAATGACAAAGCTGTCTCTGACTCTTGTTAATAATCCTGCCCTTTTGAAGCTACGATGTACAGTAGTATGCTCGCCTAAATGTTTGAATCTGAGACTGCAAAATAACATGATTCAAAATTTAAAGTTACAGTAAAACTCTGTTAGCAATGTGTCACATTTACAAGTTCCTTTGCATGAAACTCTCTGCACCTTCTTACACAATACACAGTTGAGTCCTTTTTTACCCATTGTGACAGGTAATGATTTGGCATGCTAGATCGTGTACGGCATTTTGTAGCCTGTGTAAAAGGACTCGAGGGGACATTTCTGTCCACAATAGAAAAGATCAATAAACACACATTCGCATCCAATCACTTGGCACAAGTTAAACAGCGTTACCAAGCTACCCTGCTGAAGGCATGGAGAGAGAGCAGTTACTTCTCTGTCGCTGAGTGGACTTGTCAAAAGAATTGTGTGACCTGTATTATTACTCATCATTGATTTGTAGGCCATTTTTGACTGAAACCAGCAAAGCGTTCATGGGTCATCAATACTACCGACAATCACATGTATATGTAATGCAAACAAGAAGTCTTATATTATCATTAAAGACTTAATGTTGTCAGCGAATCCTAGGCAGAAATTACCATAGACCCTCATGTAGAGAGGGTTTTCTGTCTTTTATATATTTCTCTTCGTTTAATGGATTTTCACAGATTTTATAATTTTCAACAGAAACCTGTTGAAAAACATTCCTACATGTAATTTCAGAAAATGTAAGCAGATTAAGTCTTACTTTTTTTCAATAGATTTCATAATTGATGGTATTCATCTCTCAACCAGTTGGCCATTGCTGATCTTTTCTGTAACTTTTAGTGGGACTCTTACGAGTAATTTGTATCCTCTCAGAAAGGATCTTCTCAGAAATCTTGTCTGACCGGGACTGAGAGTAGCACTTTCCTGAAAAGTGGGTTGCCGGACTTATCTCATCTTCAGAATTGTCCATTTAGTGGAGAGGGATTATGTCCTCCAGACAGCTCTGATTATAAACCAAATAGTTCTGTTGCTGATTGAGAATGCAAGTGGGCGGAGCGGTGTGGGAAATGGAACAGCCCAAATGGGCAATGGAGTCACAGGAATAAAACAATCAATAAGCAGTTGCCAGGTCCTAAATAATTAACTAATTAGAGAGGAGTGTACATGTACATGAAGCACAAAAGTTGTGTTACCTTCATTTTATAGTTACATGTACAAGGTTTCACCCACGAGTGTCAACTGTTAAAAGGCATGAATAATAATAAGCTGTCACAGTCTGTTGACAAAGTTGCTCTCGGTGTGGAGATAGCTTTTTGTTGGAATCTTTTTTCTTTTCTCAGCTGTTACTGGATTGTAATACAAATTATTAGTATTGGACTTATGTATACATGAATCGTTTGTTCATCTTTCACATATTCCAACTGTACAAATAAAATGTAAACTTTTTTCTCAATTTTTTTTAAAGGCGATCTGTTTACTGGATTGATAAACTTCCCCCAATGCCTGGACCAGAGGGTACAACAGCTTTTGGTAATTTGCCTCAAAGTAATTCTTCATATTTTCTGGTAGTTAGAATTACATATGTGTAATACAACTCTTTGAATCTTTGTTTATTCAAACTGTGAAATGATCAGGATGCCTCTGTGTGCACTTAAAAACTGGACATTGAAAAATTGATCCCTAAATGATAAATTACGAGCTAACTTAAAAGTGACAAGTCCTCATTGCTGAAAGTGTCAAGTGTCAGTGCTAAAGGGTCCTTATTGAAAAATATTGCTAAAAACATTAATTCGTGCGAGAGAATTGTTTGGAATTTAAATTGTCTTAAGGAACTAGTTTTGTAAATAGACAAAAAAAGTGTTTTCAGATTCAATGAAATATTTCTTTCCTGCTCAGAGTAAGGCTGTAAGTGTACTTTCAAAAATTATATTTTTGCTGTAATGAACGTTTAGTGGGAAAAAAAAAGAAACACAAAGTTAATAAAATGTTTTGTTTCCCACCCATAACAGTTGTGAACAGTTGGCAGGACACGTTGAGCAAGCCCAAACTTGTCCATCCTGGCTGGAAAGGAGAAAGGTAATGCAGTATATCCAAAAGTACTCTTTTAAACCAAAATCTTGTCGGCAAGGATAAGAAGGCTTTATAATGTACGATTACATGTATTTGTATTGGCAAATGTTAGTGGATACAGGCTTTAGAAAAGTCTTGTCAATCAATCTCACTGCTTCTGCAGTTCCTAACTGTAGAAGTATCATTCTCAGAAAGCAGTTCTCTGAATTCTGGTTAAGATATAACTCATTATCTCTATAGGCCCAGCCCCATATGGCCTGTCAGCAAAAATGCCCAGAAGGCAGAAGCCAGCGACCGTCTTCACATTCTCAGCAACCCCAAGACCACCGTTTCCGGGTTTGTGCCTGAGCGGCCAATTATGACAAAGGTCAGTGAGGCCGCCAAGAGTGCGATGGCATCAGACCGGATCGAACAGCTCTCCCGGGCCAAGACCTACGTGCCGCTGAAGATCCGCGAGAGCTACGAGTTTGACTGCTTCATGTGGGACCAGGAGATCTCCAAAGCAGCCCGCAATGCCCGTGCCTCGGAGCGGCTCGAGGCCCTAGCCGAGTCCAAACGCCACCACCCCAACTTCCAAGACGCCAGGTCCATCCAGTGGGATGTCTCCGAGTCTGCGCTGAAAGCCATCGCCACGTTGCGCTTGCAGCAGTTGGCCCGGCCGAAAAGCCGCAGCAAGTACGACAACTATGATCCCTACAAGGTATCGCCAGCATCGTTGCATACGCGGGCCACACCCAGAATTGAGGAACTCTGCCTGCCCATACCCAGGAAAATCCGGCAAAAACGAGTTGTTGGAGGTGGTGGTGGTGGCGGCGGTGCAATATAAACATTTTTCATATCCCCTGTGTCCTGAATCAAATATCATACATATACACCTGCATGTCTTGTATACATGATGTATTTGCTCCTCACATGGTATTTTGAACTCATAAAGTTTATTTTCAGACAAGTATACATGTATATCCCACATATTTTTCTTCATTTTTTGAGGTCTTTTTAGAAATAAATGCAGTGAAACTTTGAAAAACCTTGCAGTTTGTGTTCTGGAAGTTCCTGTTTACCTACATGAATTGCATGTATTCAGAGAAGTTTACAGGGACTTTTCTTCGCATATGTTTTCAGTGAAGCTCTTGTGCAAAGCTTTAATGCTGTGAAAATTTGTTGAAGGATTTGATAGCATTCATGTACGCCGCTGTCCAAGCTGGAAACACTTCTGCCTGCATTTCAGGTGCCAAGGTTTGAAGTATGGCTCTGATCAGCAGACACTTGAGTCTTGATCGTAAACAAGCTGGTTGGTATTTTAGCAATATTCTCATTAGATCGTGGAATAAGCTCCATTTCATTCAAAATCAGGTGTTTGTCAGTATTGAACTGCAGCAAAAATTTCACGTTTTCCGTACGACCAACTATACATGTAGTAAAAACACCTAAAAATTACATGCTTTTGATAGAGTACTGTCTAAACATTAGTAATTCGAGTTTAATATCGAAGGAAACAAGTGTAGAATAACGTTGATCACTGACTTTTGGAGGTATGTATTACAATTATTTTGAGTGAGTAACTGGAAGAAGTATTTTGAACAAATTAGATCAATGCATTATCAACTAACACATAAATCTGCATTATTTTCTGTGGATTGAAAGAGAATGTGTACCTTGCAAAGTATTAAAGAATAGTGTGATGACTTATGGGCTATAATTTTCACCACTTGTGATTGGATTAGGAGAGTTAGACCATACAGAAATATGAAAATCCTTTAAAGTTTATAGATAAACACTTTGGGAGATCACACCTATAATGATAATATCATTGATGCATGCAATTGTTCTGATATCAAATTTTGATAAATAATGTTGGGGAACTATCTTGGTGTATGCAAGTAGAGAGAAAATCAACATTTTAAAGGGACAGTAGTAGAGATTATTTAAAGTGCACGTTGCCACTTGTTCAAGACAAAAGTAGTTATCAAAATCAGGATTCAAGACCGGTATGCTATTTATGTTTGAAAAACCTATCATATTTATGTAACGATTTTGTTCATGTTTTATTTTTGGTGCATGGATTATGCTGTGGAAGTGGTGGACACATACAAAAATATCATTAACATGCATATAACTATAAATTTAAGATCAAATTTTGATACACAATATTGGAAAAATGAGCCGTTTAAAGATTAATTGCTTAGTCCATTTTGTTATTCTTTGATCATACACGTAATGCATGTACATGTACATGAGGCATCAGGCCCTCATTTGAATGTTCATTGTAAACTCCACGTACTTGCTGAAAATGTAGATCAGATTTGTAACCATATTTATAAAATATTAATGGTTTTGTTGGATGTGCGGCCGTATTTTTTTTCCATTTTTGAATTGAAAATGTTTTTTATCTCTTTTGCTTTCATTGGTCTTTCGTTTTGTATTACGACTGTACACATTTTCACTTGTCAATAAAGCTTTTACGTGCACAGTATTCACGCAGCCGTACGATCATCAGGCTGAGTGTAAGCAATTGCCGTTTTCTTTGGCTTTTCAGTTATGAATTAATCCGTGCACGGAAGTGCTTCCGTGATATAAAACTCTACAGCGGGAGAAGAATTGGTAGACTAAAATAAACAAAACTGGTGCTTATACTTTTGGGGAATATGTCGCCAAGATCGAAGTTCACCTATACTTCATCAGCACACGGCTATTGTAACAACCCGGCTTTTCTACATGCACTTTCGCCCGGCCCATGCCGTGCATGTACGGTACATGTACCTGCAGATGCGGTCCAGGCCACACTTTTAGTAGTGTTGTATAAGAAAGAAACAATGTTGACAACAGGTACTAACTTTTGAGAAAGGAACTTTTATTCTAAACTATTTTCAGCTTGTACAAGAGAGAGTGGGAGTACTGTGCACAGAGATGTTGCTTGGAGAGTGGTTGTGATGAAACTGGCTAAAAATATGACCAAGTGGTGAAAATAGGGTTGGGAACATAGGCCGGAAGAACAAGGGTAAATCTAACTAAAATCTAATTATAAAGTAATAAATCCTAGACCAGAAGTCTGCCAGAGGAATGTGGTAAGAAGGCCAAAGCAATAAAAGTGGGTCCTGTGTAGGAGTGCTCTTAAATCAATTAGGAGGCTTGACATTACAGGGTCAAAAGTTGAAGGCTCCTAATCTACTGCTTGGGAAAAATGTACATGGAGTCTACTGTAGATGCAAGTGTTCTTATTTTTACAAGGGGGAAAAACGCTACACACTAACCCTAATGCAAGTTCAAGAAAGACACTTGTTACCAGAACTCATAACAGGAAACCAAAGGCCGGGGAACTCTTGCTGAGCACACATAAACTCGATTTTGTAAGGTCAATGTCATGTAGGAAGGAAGGAGTTGTAACTCAGGCACTTCAAAGCGTCCAATGATGGTCGACGCCGAGTCTGACGAATAATAGAAAATATTCCAAAAATACCTTATTGCTGCCTGCATCTTACCTGGACAAGCGGGGCCAGTAATACCCTGGCAATACTTGTAGTTTTTTGCTTGCAATTAAATACAAACTATCGATGTGACCAGGAAATAAATTCCTGATATTAGACCTACTTTCAGTTGCCATAATAAATAAACTTTTTAAATTTTGACACACTGTTTCATTATCCATGCAAAGTTAGTAATTCTAATCTCCTATGTCCAATCATAGAGCTGTAGCTCTATGGTCCAATATACATCAGTGTCAAAGACTTGGAACGAGTTTGGCTAAGACTGGCCAACAAAATGTTCACTACTACCGGAAAGCTTAGTTCATTAGGAACAAAATGCGCTATCTTCATCACAAGGAGTGATCGTGTTTTCGCATAAAATACGCTTTTGTACAAATGCCATAATAAAAATGATTCAAACAAAACACAAAATCTTACAAACAGCTTGGCTACTTATTCCTAAAAGAAGTCCAGAAGAAAGCGTTCGATAAGGGAAACAACTGCACATGAACACTTCGGTTATACAGCCTGATAGAAGCAACTGCGCAAACACTACATGTACATTCGATGATGTTGTCGGTTCATATCAAGTACCAACGATGGCATGAATATTCAACTTCCTATACTGCAATACACAACGTTTTAGGGATGCAGATTACCAACGAAAAATTGCGGCGACGATCATGGGGTACAAAGGGGGCTTATGGCTGCAAAACAGGTGGCGGGTAGCAGGCGTGCAGTGCGCTGCGCTCTGGCTATGGACATACCGGGAATGCCAGAAAGTGGTAATCGGCCAGATGTTACAGCCCGGGCAGTTCAAACTCCTTCTGTGTCCTTCCTCCAAGGTCTGAAGCCAGTATACGAGCCAGCCGTATAATGTTCCCTCTTAGTCGGAATACTTGTACATTATGTGTCCTGTCTGATAACTGATTTTGCCTCCACCTGCCAAAAGGGGAATCGTGACGTCCCTCCTCGTTAACCATAGTACCAACACGGCGACTTCTTCTGATTTGCCTAACATTACAAAGAACTCAGGGGTGTGAGAGGGGTGTGTCGCAGGAGGTGAGCGCGTGGTGGCGCTCTTGTTTTGGCGGATCAATCAACGAGTTGTTAGCAGCGCTACATACGCGCGCCGCATCTTAAGCTTAGCTAGCTGGGCCTGGGAAAAGCACGACATGTCGACAATGGACATGCATGTTCTGCATGAGTGCGTCACATACGTGGGCCTAATTTGCGCTTGCATTCCTTCGACGTCAACACTGATGTTTGGTGGAGTAAAATCTGTTCCAATTACGTACTATACGGTTTTGACGGATGAAAAGGGCTAGAATGGCGGAGACAGTGGTCGAGAACTTCATCGGTGGTGAGTTTATTGGGACTAAGTCACACCTGGACAGCTACGATCCGTCTACAGGAGAGGTGTGGGCTAGGATTCCGGACAGCGGAGAGGCCGAGATCGAGCAGGCTGTGAAGGCTGCCAAGGGAGCATTCCCAGGGTACGGATCATCCTAGTATAATAGGCCTACTAATAGTGCGTGTACTGCTGGGCACTGACGTCCGCCCCACTCCCTCATTCATCCTGTTCGTGGGATCCCCGAGAGCGGGGCTGACGTTGGATCCCACAGTTCGGGGAATACAGAACTTTCATGACGGGAGGCCGGGTTCGACGTCCGCCGCTCTCCCACGAGCAGGATGAATGAAAAACAAAATCGTTTACTTAGCAAAACGTACGTTTTCAGACCAGTTTCATGGGGTTTGTGCATGGGATGTCAAGTTGTGTCCTTATATATATGGGAGTCCTTCCAATGTGGGCCTACATGTACTTATAGTGTGGGGTTTATTATCGGGTAACAACCTCACAGTTCTTAGTATGTGTAGCACGGAAAAATGGCACCCTAAACTAAGTCTGAATAAACAAAAAACAAACCAGTATTTGGGGAACTCGCTAAAAAACTTCAAATTTGATCGGGTAGGGAGGAGTCACAAGGAAAATTAGGTGGAGGCAAACGACTGCAAGTTTTAAAGAAAGGAGGACACAAAACCAAAAAAATGTAATCCCAAAATTTATTGCTTAGGGGCAATGCTCAACAGAATCCAAACAACGATATAAAAAGGAATTGTCTAACCACAAACTCAATCAAACTTGTGATCTAAAAAAAATTGAATAACCAGTGTGACGTCTGGACAGAATGGGACTAGATTAACTTTGATCTTCAAAAAATGCACTTAATGAAACTACGTCAAACTACGAAAAAAATTAGAAGCCAATGAAACTTTGCAGGTCAAAAGAAATAGGAGCGTGGATTTAACAAAATTTAAAGTCTAGCAAATACAAGCAAAAAAATGAATGAATTTCAACAAAAAAATGAAAACCTAACCAAAAATAAAACTAACAAAACTGAAAGCCAACACAGCATTTAAGAGGGTTGCAAAACAACAAACACAACAGCTTTGAAAACCTGAAACATTAAAAAACGAAGAAAAACGAATAAATATATGAAAATGATTGACGATTATACGCAAAAAGTAACTTTAAAAGTTAAACAAGGTAAATGTTATAAGTCTACAAAATAAGATGACCAGTCTCTAGTTCCATAGCTAGTTCACACAAACCATCTGGCTCTCCCTTTCACAACCTGTAAACAAAAAACCACAGCCAGAGGTGCATGTAGCAGTCCAAACCACCAAAATCCCTGTGAATACCTAATAAGCTGATAAGACTATCCCTGCCTTCAAGGTCAGCTGGCTACAGACAAACCAAGTGCTCACCCTGGGTAGAGGCTAGAGGAGACTTTAGTCCTCCCACCGTAAATCAATCAGCAACACAATCATTATGTATAAAAGATGACTGGAGTTAATACTAACCAAAGAACTAAAGAACAAGTCTAAACTGCTGAAACACTAACTCCATGGTGAAGCGCCTCTCCTTACTTACCAGACCACTGATCTTATGAATGGGACTCTACTACATGTATCA